CTAGATAAAAAAATCGAAAAGATCAAGCTATCTAGTAAATCTGCCACCAAACGTATGGATGAACTGATACAGAGGAACAAGAATTTGCAGCAGATAATAGTGGAGGAAGATGAGAAACGTGATAAACTGGTAAAAGAGCTAGATGATTTGAAGTCAATGAAAAATCAAATGTTAACAACAATTAGTACACTTGAGAATGATAATGATGTATATGCTAGTGAGAATAAAAAGATCAACAAAGAATTATTCCAGTTCAAGCAGCGTAAAGTTTCGAAAAAGGATTATCAAAAAAGTCAATCAGATGGTAATATTGCTGACATAAGTGCTATAATCTTGCTTGTTAATTTAAGAAAGGTTAAAAATTCTAAGAATAAGATTGTTTTTTTAACTGATGACTTTGGAAGAATGTTATATGATGCTATAGACAAATCAGTGGGCGACAACTATGTAACTCAGCTGGTGACAAAACCTTATACTACAATAAGGGATATTATACATAGTTCCGACTGTTATGTGAAGGATTTGACCGATAAGGACTATGTAGTTTTAATAGCAGGACTTAACGACACTGATATCCGAAAAGATGACATAGTTATGCTGTCAAATAAGTGTTTTAGAACGAATTTGTTAGTCTGCAACCTCCCATATAAAAATAACTATGGCAAGAAATGTTTGTATGTTAGGAATGTAAATCAAAAACTTAGGGAAGTTGTTCAAAAACTACAAATTTTCTCTATTAACATAGGTTTTTTGGATTTGGTTGGTAATTTTTCTCATGGAGATTTTTGTATGAATTCTAACTTTTATTTAAAAAAGTACGGATTGTTTAAGACTGGAAAATTGATAAAACAGTGTGTTCAGAACTTTAATGTAAAAAGCGTAACAAATCTTAAATATGTCCCAATAGATAATAATATCTTTAGTATTAATGACGACACTATTTCAAAGGGTAATAATTTTCCAGAGGTAAATTTTTTAGACCAACCTCTTCCACAAACTGCGCAAGCGCGGCACAAAACATAAAAAATAATAACGCCGCCGTCTCCGTATTTCTAATTAATATACAATCGCTAAGGAACAAACTTGATGATTTATATCTGCTGTTGGAAGATAACAATTTTCCAGCTTTCTTACTTATAACTAAGCACTGGCTAGCAGAAAATGAACCATTTTGTATTGAAAATTATACTGTGGTGTCTCTCTATTGTAGAAATAGTAAAACTCATGGTGGAACTGCTATTCTTGTCAATAAGACATTTTTACAATCTTTTGATGTTACCCCCATAACAAAGTTTAATACCCTTTTAATTGAAAATGTTTTTGAATTCTCCTTGTTATATAACAAAAAAAATAATTTACATATTTTGTGTATATTCAAACTTAAAGCAATACTTTGAAAATCTTGAAATTCTTTTATCAAAACTGCCACCCAAGGCAGGTTTGATACTAGGGGGAGACCTTAATATAAATTTTGATGATGAAAGATCAGAGGCACAGCAAACTCTGTCTAACTTGTTTTTATCATTTGACCTAGAGATGTATGTTAACGAACCTACTAGAATAACTGGTCATTCTCGAACCAAAATCGATTATCTGTGTTCAAATTTTGTCTTAAAGCAAATGTTTGTTAGCTGTAGTGTAATTCCTGTAGGCATTTCGGATCACGAGGCAGTTTTAGCAAAATTTCAACTTGCGATAAATAAACCACCAAAATATAAAGTTGGTAGACTACTTAGCAGCAACAATTATAAAAAATTTAAAGATATTTGCAAGGAATTAAATTGGCCAGCAGTTTTGAATTGTCAATCACCACTAAACGAATACCAAAAATTAGTAACTGATGCATTTTTAAAATCTTTTCCATTACAAAAAATTAAGCAAAAGAAAAGTAAACTTTGGATTACTCCCGCTATTAAAGTTTCATCAAAAAACATGCGTTCGTTACAAAATATTCGCAAATTTACTGATTGTCCTCAGTTCATAAGTTATTTCTGCAGATATAGAAAAATTTACAAAAGTGTTTTAAAAGCAGCTAAAGAAAAGTTTTATCAGAATAGAATAAACTCCTCCAAAAATGCCAGCAAAGAAAACTGGAAAATAATTAATCAGTTAACTGGTAAAAACTCAGTTCTTCAAACAGATGTTAAATTAGATCCCCATATTCTCAACAACTTCTACTGTAGTGTTGCTGATACTTTACAACAAAACTTGAAAAGTAATGTGGATCCTGGTTCTTATTTATTGGATGTTAAAATAAATGACACATTTGTACTGGAAACTACAAACGTATTAGAACTTAATGAAATCTTTAGAGGAATAAAAAACAATAAATCCAGTGGGCACGATAATGTTTCATTAAATTTGCTTAGAAACTTGCCTGATAATGCATTATATGTCTTGTCTGAATGTATTAATATTTCATTTTTAACAGGAGTATTTCCAGACTGCCTGAAAAAAGCTATTGTGTTGCCTGTTTATAAGGGTGGTGATTTGGACAACCCATGTAATTATCGACCAATATCACTTCTCTCGACGTTGTCAAAAATAGTTGAAAAGTTAGTTAAAGAAAGAATGTTGAAATATTTTTCAAAACACAACATAATAAGTGACACTCAATTTGGATTCCAACCATTAAAGGGCACCCATGATGCAATGTTTAATCTTTTGGAACAGGTATTCGTCAGTCTTAATGAAAGTGAGCTTGTCTCCGTTGTGTTTTGTGATTTCTCTAAAGCCTTTGATTGCGTAAATCATAAAATAATGCTTAAAAAACTAGAAATTTATGGCTTCGGAGGAATCTCATACTCATGGTTTGAATCTTATTTCTCGGGAAGAGAACAATTTGTTAAGATTGGTGATACTCAGTCATCAAACTTGGCTGTGACCAATGGTGTCCCACAAGGATCTGTGTTGGGACCAATATTGTTTTTACTTTATTTAAATGATATTAATCACCTCCCCATTAGAGCTAAAATAACATCATTCGCTGATGACATTACTCTGTCCTGGAACGGAAAAAATATTGAAGAGTTGAAAAAGATTATTTCTGAAGACCTAAATCTTGTAAAGAGCTGGTGTGACTCTAACTTGCTTTGTTTTAACTCTAAGAAAACCAACATATTGACATTTAAATTTTTTTTTGATGATTTATTATTAGACACACACACAATTGGAAATAAAACTAGCTGTAAATTTCTTGGTGTTCATGTTGATACTCAACTTAAGTTTAATGAGCACGTTACAAATCTAAACAAACGATTGGCAAGTGGTTGCTATGCTGTAAGAATAGCGTCAAATGAACTTGGTTTGAATACTGCTAAGTTGGTTTATTTCTCGTTGGTTGAATCTCATATCAGGTATGGCATTGCATTTTGGGGTAACTGTTCTAATAAATTGTTTGATTCTGTTTTTGTCATTCAAAAGAGAGCAGTGCGCTATTTGTGTAAGGTTGGATATTGGGAGCATTGCAAGCCACTATTTTTAAAACATAAAATACTTACAGTATGCTGTATATTTATCATGGAAACTGCTTGCCTTATGCACAAAAAACATTATGATGAGTTAGAATATCCAAGAACTTATCCAACTAGGCAACTTCTTAAAATTCAGCTTCCTATACCCAAGACTGCATTGGCGCAAAATTCACTAATTTAAAAAAGTAGGCAAATTTTTAATCATCTTCCTGTTAACTTAAGGCAGATAGGTGGTTTTAAAAAGTTTAGACTAGAGCTCAAAACATTTTTACATGGAAAAGCCTACTATCATATTAATGAATTTTTAAATGAAAAATTTTAATTTTGTTTGTTTCATTGTTTTGTTTTGTTCTGACCGCAACCTTTATGTTTTTTCTGTATTGGCTGTACCTTCTATATGACTCTATAGTTTGATGTAGTAAAAATTGTACATGTGTTGCTTAGGATTATGCTTTGACATTTATGTTTATGTTTATTTTTTATTTTATTGATTGTACCTCTTTTTGTTTTTTTATAACCCGATAATTTTTAATTACTTGCACATTATTTAAGATCATGCTTTGTCAATGAAATTTATTTTTCCGACAATAAAGTATATTTTGATTGATTGATTGATTGATCTATACCATATTTAGGTTTATTCAAAGGTATGTTTGGTATGTACTTGGGTATGTAAGATTTCTCAGAGGTATGTAGCTACTTTAAGTAGGTACAAAAATGATGAAATTACACCTTTTTGAACTTTTCGATCCTTTTCATTCAGATTTTGACTTTAGGATCATTTGGGAATTGGGACACCATCAGAAACTAGGGATTTTGAAGGCTTTATCAGGCAATATCATGTGTAAAACGATTTGGTGTATGTAATATGCAGAGTAAACTACAGAGAATTCTGGAGGAATATGTGAAAAAAATTTAGGAAGCTGGGATTGTCAGATTTATAATCCAACAAAAATTAATTTTTGAAATAGGCATATTTTGAAAACCAGAGAAGCTATCTAAATGAAAGTTACACCCATAGCTTTCAAGCTACAATTTTGAGATAATCAAATCAACTTTTTGAGAAAACTGAATCAGACATGATATACTTACCTACAGAAATAATGCAAAATATACGCATAGATAACTTTGTCATTAGGTAGACAATAATAACAATAAAAAAACCCAATCTTATCTTGAAATTAAAAGTATTACAAAACTTCCATAAACAAACATGACCTCAACACTGACATTTAAGGCGAAGAAGGTAGACGGCCTCACTTCTCGAGAATTGCCATTGCCTTTGCTTCCGAGAAAGTCAAATTTAAACTGAAATACATTAAAATCACGTTTTTGTTTTTACGATAGCAAAACAATACATTATTAATTTATCAGGTGACAATATAAAATGCGAAATAATTATTTGCATATGGAATGTAACTGTATCGTGCCTATAGTACTTAAAAAGGGGCCCCTTTTTTTAAATAATATGTTATTGTAACCACCCTATAGGGTATGGTGTATTGATTTGCAACAATTTAAATTTACCTGGCCGGCAAATGAAGGGCGTTTAATTTCACAATGTAAGGAGTTGCAACTTTTCCATGATTATGGAGACTGTGAGAAAATAGTCTCAAAAACTAAAGTCGATTTTGCACATTTTCAAAGACCGCGACCCGGAGTAATGGACAAACGTTATTTCATTGACCGCATCGCGATAACTAGTTTAAAAACACTAGGAAGTAAGGAAAACATTTTTCTTTCCATTATTGAAAATTCAAGGAGCTCTACGAGTGCAACAACCGGAGTGAATGAGTTGCGCTTGCTCGAAACCTTCACGCCCCGAGTATCGACAACCAATCGGATGACTTGCCCCCAAGGGCCCCCCAACAAACGATTTTGGAGAAATATGGGCGAATTTGGAGTGGAACAGATACAAAAAGAAAACGCTACTAATGGAATTTCATTATGGGCGCTTTCTTTTATTTAGCAATGGATCCATCTGCTGCCAGCATTATGAGACAGACATTCCAATTTTCTATGAGCTAGACAAAGAAAGGCTGATTACCGATGGACCCACCGTTGAATAAAAGAAAGCGCCCTATTTTAACTATTTTAGGATCAATTTAAACCTTGCTTTGAATTATGCTAAAATGTGAAAGCAACTATTATTTAATAAATCACACTCACACTATGATAATAATCACAAATTAATTTTACTTATTTTGTAATTTTTTATTATTATTAATTATTTACCAATAATTCAATTATTGCACTGGAGTCTGAAAGAAAGCGCCTTGTTCGAATCAGTTCTGTATGTGTTCAGTGTGTTCTGACTGTTCTGTCAGACAGTCAGGGTGACTGAAAAAAGTAAATAAAAGATGTCCACATAAGATTTATTAATTGTTTTGCTCTTATTAATAGAAATTTATTAATTAAATTCCTTAAACAATAAACCGATAAATCATGGCTCGACACAGAGATATTAGAAATATGGACTATGAGGATGGTAAGTTTGAAAAAAAATCCAGGTCAAACTTTGTCCAATAAATTTATGCTTTGTTTTGATTTTATTATTCCAAATTTTACACATTTATTATGGATTGTTCTTTTCCCTATTTCAAATGGCTCTTCCTATGAAAATTAGAATAGAAATATGGGATTATGAAGTTTTGTTGTGGTTTTGGTAACAGCTGTCTGGAAAGTTTTGCACTTTCTCTAGAAAGAAAATTTCAAGTATCTGGATAAATTATCCATACAAATTTATTTATTTCTACATCCTCAACAGCAAAGTCGGGTCCGGTACAGTTTCCGGACACACGATTTTTGGCATTTTTTCGATTTTAATAAATAGAGGGTCCTTAATATAGTATTTTCCAAAAGAAAAAAATGCGGAATATTCAGCCAATTTTCAGAAAAAAAAAATAATTGAAAAATTGTTATACCCTTTTAATTGGGACCAGTACCCTTCAACCTAATTGGTACAAACATCAGTAACAGGATCACGAAAATATCAACTATGAATAACCGTACGATGTATATACCCCATGATGTTGAAGAATATTGTATCCTCTCCACTCATCAATCCAAATTTCGGACCCTGGTGCAACAATGTTTCGAATAATTGGAATTAATGTTGCCTCTGACCTATTGGGGACATATTGAATAAGGGCTGTGATATATCCCTTTTTGGTTGTGGTATCAAAAATTCCAATTACCCATTTTTGTTGCACCAGACTCCCTCTGTGGTATTTCCTTCTAGTTATCACACTTTTGTCAATTTGGACTACATGTCCAGGTCCTTTAATTAAATTAACTTTTTATTTTTTACTGAAAAAGAAAAATACCCAGATTCTGGAGCAGTTTCCAACTTAGAATGTCTCTAAAAAAGCGATATATTTTGACAACAGTCGCTTTCCGGGTATCCAAAATGTTGGCGGCACAACCGGTACATTAAAAAAGATTTAATACCGAGATAGATAGATCAATTTTTATATATTTATTTATTATTTATTTTTTTGAAATCGCCTCTCAACCTTTGACACAGATCAATATATCTATCCTTATCAGCTTAATATCGCTATAGCAGTTCAAGAAAATAACCCAAAAAAATTTCTCTCAATACAATACAATATTCTGTGCTCAAATTTGCACTACATAGGTAATAAATTGGGTAATAATTATTGAGCAAATAAAAAAATCTGACAACAATGCTGCTTTTTAATTTATTTTGATAATTACACTGAAAAAAGTCCGTTTTTCTCAAAATTGGCTGAATATTCCACATTTTTTTCTGTTCTAAAATACTAAGGTAAACGTACCAATTATTGACACTGATCCAATAATTGACACTGAGCCACATTTAATTCAAAAATAAGATCATCTTGGTGAACAGAGTATATTTACGTAAAAAATCTTAAAGAATAGAAGGTTTGGCAACCCTGTACCGATTGGGAGTTGAATCGCCAAACTCCATTTTCAGTTTTCATGCCGCCATTTGCAAAGTGTCTGTGACTGGAGAAAAACGTTAAGCAAATCGTTAAGGTAAGTAAATTAATTGATGCATTTAAACAATTGCTGAAATTATGTTTGATGTTTTATAAGTATTTGGGGGGCTCATCTAGACTATGAGGTATTGTTTCTATCATATTTCTGTGGGCATAAATCATCTAGTGCCAGGTTGCTGAGGTGTCAATGACTGGATCAAGTCTAAACCTAATATCACCAGTCATTGACACTAGTGTCAATGACTGGTACATCGATGCATATTCAGTGGATAATGCTAAGATACGCAAGTATGAGTGTGTAAGCTTCCCTATAAATATGGCTTCAAAAAAACAATCGGGTCCAGTTATTGACAGGGTGTCAGTTACTGGTACATAAGATGTCAATTACTGGAGCAACGAAATATGTGTTTCATTGGGTAGGTTGATATTACGCCTCTTTGGCGAATACCCAATAAAATACGTATAAACGTGGACCCGACAGAACAAACTAGATCTTGTTGAAGCATTGTCATTGTATATTTCAGATATGGCGCCAAAAAAAAATTACACGAAAGAGCAGATGAATGCAGCTCTTGAAGCTGTGGCAAGAGGAACACCTGTAGCCCAGGCTGCTAGACTACACTCTGTTCCTAGAGTGACGCTGATGTATAAATCACAAGGAAAGTTACCAGTGGATTGCCGAATGGGACCCAGCACCATTCTGACCACCAATGAAGAGAATCTTCTCGAAAAATGGATTCTTTCGATGGCTAAGGCACATCATCCAGTCAATAAGGAACAATTGTTGGATAGCGTCCAATTGATAATTCGAGACGATAAACGTCCAAACCCTTTTACCAATTTCCGTCCAGGCCGAAAGTGGTATGACTCGTTCATGAAAAGGCATCCAATTTTGAGTAAGAGGGTAGCCCAAAATTTAACACCTGCTCGTGAAAAAGTGTCTGAACAACAGCTTCGACAATGGTTCCAAGAAATAGAGCTTTATTTAAAGTCTAAATACCTGTTTGAGATAACCAACGATCCTACAAGAGTCTTCAATTCCGATGAGAGTGCATTTTTTCTACAGCCAAAGGCAGACAAAGTATTGGCAAGAAAAGGAGATAAGAGTGTGTATAATGCTGGAACAAATGACGAAAAAGAGAATCTCACAGTTCTGGTGACAGCAAATGCCGCTGGAGAATTTGCTCCGCCCATGGTAATTTTCAAGTATGAACGTATTCCAAGCAATATAGCAATCAGTATCAATAAAACTTGGGGATTAGGTCGGTCAGAAAGTGGCTGGATGTGTGGCGCTACCTTCTTTGAATACGTAACTAACGTGTTTGTTCCGTGGCTAGAAAGTCAAAAAATTAAACGACCGATTTTAATGTTCATAGATGGCCATGTGTCGCATATGACTTTACATTTATCACGATTCTGTTCAAGAAACGGAATTGAACTATTTGCCTTATATCCCAACTCGACTCATTTAATCCAACCCATGGATGTGGCGGTTTTCAAACCCCTTAAGCAATTTTGGAAATCATCTGTAAGAGACTGGCATCTCGACAACCATGGAATTAAGTTCAGGAAGGATAATTTTGGAACCGTATTTGAGAAGGCCTTATCAAAAATCACAAAAGAGACGATACAAAATGGCTTTAGGGGCTGTGGTATTTGTCCATTCAATGTTGAAAATGTGAAATTTTCAAAAATTTCTACCCAATCAGCAAACACTAAACAATTTCCCAAAGCAAAAGAAGGACTTTTGGTCTTGGAGAAAACCATTCCCTCCGAAAAACTAGAAAGATTTAGAGCTAATTTCAAAGCTGATTGGACTGGAAACATTGAAGATACTTCACTATTTAATGTATGGTCGGCAATGAAACTGGAATCGATCAGTAACATGAGAGTTGACAAAGAAGTCAAACCAGGCAATGAAAACAACCTTGGAAAAGAAGATACTATTGCAGAAGCTATCGAAGCGAATAATTCGAATGGAGAAGTTCTGCAACAAAAAGATAATGATATATCGGAGCCGGGATGTTCAGGTCTACATCTGGGACATCAGGCAGAAGAAAATCCCACAATAGATCCTTATGACACTCTCGCTACTCCAGAAAAACAAATAACGCCCGCTTCCGCTATCTTGTCTGCGACTAACCCCCTTTCATCGAAATCCATAACACCCTTAAATCTTTCATCATTAAAAGAACAAGTTCCCACACCCTTCAAGAAGGCGCTATTCTGGCCTGAAGAAATTAGTTCAGAAAAAAAACGAAAAAAAGAAAAAATTCCATCTGCTATCACCTCAGAAAAATGGCAGGAATACCATATGAAAAAGGCCAGAGAGAAAGATAAAATGTTGGAAGAAAAAAAAAATAAAGCGGAAGAAAGGAAACGAAAAAAGGAAGAGAAAGCCAGGCAAATTCAACAAAAAGCCAAAAAGAAGAAAGTTTTACCTTCCGACTCATCAGATTCAGGTGAAGAGTGGGTGGAAAGCGGGGATAGTTTGGATGATGTCAACATTTATTCGGAACGAGAAGAAGATGAAGATGAGTATGACCATATTCCATTGATCCGCTTGAAATCAAGAAAGACTTCAGGGTTAACCACGAATTTACAATATGATGATATACATGTTGGAGACTTCATTTTGGCTAAGTTTATGGGAGGGAAAAAGAAAGTTTTTTTTTATAAATATGTCTGTGTCGTACAAAAACTATACGCGCAGGATGATATTGAAGTTGCTTCTCTGAGATCCATAAACGGAAAATCCTGTTTTAAGATAGCAGAAAACGATATCTCTACTATAAGATTAGAAGACATCGTTGAAAAACTACCTCAACCAGAAATTCAGAACATCGGTGATAGAATAAAATATGTGTTCTCAAATAACATTGAAATAAATGAGGCCTAAAATAGATTATAAATATTATTTTTGAATAAAATGATTTTCCTTTTGTGTCAATTATTGGTGTGTCAATTACTGGAGCCTATGAAAAAATGAACTGTCAATAACTGGTGCCTCTGTTATATTTTATTCAAAAATTTTTTTTCCCGAAAAAAATTAAGTTACTCCTAATAAAACTATGGTCATCTTGTTCGGGAAAGTCCAAAAAATGATATAAAAAATATAAATTGGACCTTAAGTGATCAGTATAACCTTGGTGATTTTTTAAAAGGTTTTTCTTGCCTTAAGGTGTCAATAATTGGTACGTTTACCTTATATTAAGAGCCCTCTATTTGATTTTTTTATTTTTTTTATTTGTCAAACACATTGTGTTTATTACATTACAATCTAGTCAGTAAGACTAATTAGCAATTTTGTTTTAACCTAATTTACTATAAAGTTTACAATTCTTGAGGTTCACTCAACAGTTTTCCCCACTTTGCTTAAATTGTAAATCACAATTTTGATATGTTTATAGCACTATTTTGTTGTGTTTTTCAATTTCAGTTCACTAGCTCGAACGGCTTCACCCTTCTCAGTCTTCTAACTAGCTCAGTATTGTCTAGGAGC